AATGCCCCTGTCTCCCAGCCAGTATATTTTAGTTTCTTAGTTACTTAGGTAACAGTTCCCATTCCAGTTCCGATTGCTTCTGTGTCTTAGAAACAGCTGGTCACTGAGATGCACACTGTATAAACCAATCCCCGACTGACACGTCATTCTGCCTGTGTACTTCCGGCTTGCTTATCTCATATAAGTCCTAGACCCCCAGAGGTCAGGGCCTGATACTCTGGGAATGATCTTGATCAGTGCTCATCGATGTCAATAAATCTGCCTCCAGATCCTGGGTGTCCTCCTGGCGTTCCTGCTGGCCATTGCAGGGTTACTTTCCCAAGGCCACTGGCAAGCGAGGGCAGCCCCAGAACCTTGGCAGGCACTGTGGCCCAGGGCCCATGCTGCTTATTGCTGTGTTCTGGTGTTTCTCAGAGCCCCTGGCTCTGTTTATCTCCAGGCCATGCCACTGGTACATGCTGTGTCCATGGCAGCAGTGTTATATGGTGGTTTCTTTAGAAATGGCTCATCAATCAAAAGTATTCCAGGTCCCTCTTACCTTGAACAAAGTATTAGACAAGAAGAGCCACAAATAGTGCCAAATGTTTATTTGAAAACTGCAGGGTAAATGGATATAGGAGAAACCAGCTTTGCAGAGTGAACTTGAGCTAAACAAAGAGAAAAAGAGGTAAAAGCAAAAATAAAATTCATGCTGTGCCTGAGACACGTGGCATAGGCTACTGTGCACTCATGTACGATGGTGCGCAACCTTTTAATGCCACCCATAGCTGGTGAAAGCGGAGCAGAAATTCCACATGCAAGGATCTCGCTTTGCCCAGGGATCCTTTAACTGACAGGTCCTGCTCATTTTCTGGCCAGCTTTGCACACTCTGATGCCCCATCTCCTGTATCTGCCATGTACTTTCCTCTCTTCAGCAGGGGACCAGCTCTTTGCTCCCTTAGAGAGCAACTGGCTAGGCTGTGTCTTCTCCACAGAGGTCATAGGACATGGCTGAGCCCAAGGTCAGACTCAGCAACCACAGCCTGGCCTGGTGGGTCCCGCAGAGCTGAGTCCTGTAGGCTCAGTCCAGTCCTGCAAGCTCTGTCAGGCAGGGGTTTGTGCCCAAAGCAGAGCAGCACTGATCTGAGACCTGGATGACAACAGCACTGAGCCACTCTGCACTCTACCCGCAACGTGGAGCCAGTGGTGCCATCTCTGCATCCTTGCTCATCCCACAGCACCCAACCTGGACCCCGCCTGGCTTCTTTCCACCTGCTGCCGCAGCTATGCATCCTGTGAACTGAGTAAGCTTTGTATTCAAATGCTAGGGGGAAAATCAAAAGAGCATTCCATGATATGTACCCTTCAAATGTTACTGTCCACAACAAGTTTTACTGGCATGTGGCCACACTCACTCACAGCAAAGGGACACTCCGTGTCCTCGGCAGGAGTGCCACTAGCCGATTCCACGTCCCACGCTGCATCCCAGCACCGGGGCCCCGTGCCAGGGATAAGGAGCACGAAATGCAGGGCTCCTGGGCTCAAGGCCCTTTCCTGGGGTCCCACCAGACCTCTGTGCTTGTGACCTGCATCTGGAGGCTGCCTGGTCTTTTCCAGATGTCTCTGCTACAGGTAGTGGTCTCACCATCAGTGCTGATTCATGCTGTATTTACATATTCAGCATTTTCCACCATATTTACAGGGCTTTCTAGCTTTTGCTTCTATTACAAAAGTGACAGCATTACAAGCAAAACATCACATACAGAGAAAGATCTGAAGAGAAAATCACATGTTGACAGACAGAACCCTAATGGCCAGTATCACCTTTCATGGTCAACCCTCCAACTCTACAAAACTATCTGGGTGGTGCCAGGTGAGGAAGGTTTGCAACAGGGCTGAAGAATCTTCGATGGGGACTCAATCAGGGCAAAGCGAGTCACCTCTGAATTTAACAGGAGGTGTCTGTCCCAGTGAGTCAGGCTGTGAAACCAAGGACGAGGAGGAGGAAGGAGCCCAGGAAGAACCTGCACCCGCGGCCCCAGCCCGGGAGCAGGGGTCTTCCGAATGCAAAGGACGCCACTGGCCAGGCCACCTCACTGGCCGGGCCACTCCAGCGCACGGTGCTGTTTCTACCCCCACGGAACTCTGCTCTCACCCCCTCAGTCATGCTCCCTTTCACCGATTATTTCCTCAGTCCTGTCTAAGATGAGTGCTCTTCTAGGGGCAGGAATTAACCTTTGCCGCCCGACTCCCTCCGCTTCCTAACACTGACATCTCAGATGTCACCTGCTTCCGGACAGCCCTGCAACACCCTGTCCCCCACCAGCTCAGCTGGGCCCGCGGGCTGCGCTGAGCACTGACCACATCTCACTGCTCTTGAAACTTGATGCTGTCTGCCTCTGTGCTCTGCTCTTCACCACCAGACTGTGAACTTGCTGGTCAAGGTTGACTCACTTCAGTCACGACCCCCAAGCACACAGCACCAACTGGCAACATCACAGACAAAGGGACCTGCAGGCAAATCGGCATATCCACTGCTCTGAAAACAGAATGGCAGCAGCCAGAGGGCAGCTGGAGAGCCAGGCTCTGCTTCTAGCATCCTTGTGCAGGGCCAGGCGATTCCTCCTGCCTGGCCAGGTGCTCCCTGCATTCTGTTGGTAGCACCTGCAGCCGAGGGACAGTCCCAGCTTAGCGCCATCCAGTGCTGCCCTCCCTCAGACCCACTTTCCCCTTAGTCTGATCTCTCTCCCGACCATCCGCCTTCCCAGCCTGCTAAATGGCGGCTCTTCACATGCGTTCTCGACTTCTCTTCTCCCCAACCCAGTTTGCCAGCCCAGCCTTCAGCATCATCTCTGAGACAGCGCCAGACTCTGCCAGCTGCTCACCTGCCCCACTGCTGCCTTTACCTGCAAAACTGCTGCCATCGCAGGGCAGGACGATGGGAAACACCTCACTGGCCACAGCCCAGGGTTCCAGGCAGCTCCTTTCCACACACCGAGAATCCCAACAGTGCGCCACTCTTCTGCTCCCAGGGTGGGGCTCAGACACCCCAGCCTTCAGGCCCAACCTCCTTGTCTCCCCTCAGAATTTTTCTCCCCCTCCTGCCTTTCAGGACACAGGGGTCCAGCTGTCCTCTTCAGGTCCTACCGCAGACCTCGCCATCTGTTCCCTCTCTCTGAGGTGCTCTTCCTTAGATCTTGTTGTGATCACCTCTCCCTTCCTTTTGGGCTCTGCTCACACGTTCTCTTCTTGTCAAGCCTTCCTGATCCCCGTCACCCACTCAGACCCCCTGGTGTCCCCATCCCTCCCCTCGGCTGCTGTCACTCACCATCTGACATGGTCTGCACTCACCCACTGATCACGTTTGCTTCCCACAAGAACCGTAGTGTGGCCGGGTGAGAGCAAGTGTGTGTTCCCCATTTATATGCTCTGTCTTCAACACTTGGGGCAGGGCCTGGTACCCAGGAGATACTTGATAAATTTTCTTAGATGATTCTATTTAAATGAATAAAACTGGCATTCTGGTTTGGGCATCAGTCTTTTGATTTGGATGAGTCTGAGAAAATCTCCTCATCATTCATGAACCGCACATGCATTATTATGCATTAGTAAATTGTTTTCCCGTCACAAGTTGTGGTTTTTACTTTTTTGTCTTTTTCCTTTTTATCGGTACCAGGGATTGAACTGACGACTGCCTGCTTGCAAGGCAGGCGCTTATGCCGCTGAGCTAAATCCCCAGCCCCCGTGGTCTTTACTTTTTAAAAAATTTCTGTACCTTCACACTAAGTAGAAACCATATCAGTCATAGGAACTGCATCACTGGGCTGCAGCTAGGTGTGCAGCCCTGGGCGATCATTCTGACCTTGACGCACAGGGTGTTCTGGAAAACCATACACTCTAAGACCCAAAGGCGAAGAACTGTGTACCATGGGGGTAGATGTTCGAAGCTCTGCTGAGATGAGTGGAGCCCAGCCAGGCCAGTGTCCGATCAATGGGTCCCCCTCATTCACTTCTGCTTTCTAATAGATCATGGTGGCGGGGGGCGGGGGCCAAACCCACTGGGCCTCATGGCCCAGTAACGTTAGCGGGGCACTGTGTGCCCCACAGGCTGTGACAGGACACTCATCGAATCCAAAAGCTGACTCCAGTCTGGTATTCATGAGAAGAACACCAGCCAAACCCAGATGCTGTCTCTCTTCACGTAGAGCCACTCCTAAATTTCCCTGGGAGACCCCTGCGGGGATGTTGGAGGGAACCAGTTTGCAGTTGCCTGAATTTCTTTTTTAAAAATGACACAGCATCCCACAGGACCTGCAGGCATCCTCCTCTGTAGCAGATCACCTCTAGGTGACTCTCAGGCCCTAACACAGTGTGTCATGTAGACAGCTGTTACAATATTATTTACTTAGAGGTTAATGAAAAGAAAATGCCTGTGCATGTGATTTTTTGGAACTTTCTGGAGTTTTGCCAAATCTTTTGATTCTTGGTTGGATTCTGACCTTCTGAACATGCAGAGAGGGAAAGTTGACTGTATCTCAAAATGTGCCTGACACCCACACACAAATACTTGATATGAAAGTGGGAAAACAACTTGGCGTGAAGATGTGTTCCCACCTCCTCTTTCCACTCCTGGCTGCTCCTGCCCGGCCCCTCCTGGGCCTCTGCAGCATCCCTGCCCTGTGGGTGGTCCTGCAGAGCTCCCCTGGCTCACAGGTGGCTCACAGGTCCATACAGGTAGGTGCCCCTGCACCCCAGGTTGAATGGGTATCCACTTTGTAGCACTTGGCAGCCCTTGATTTACTGTAGGCATGGAGGTCCTCAAGGGCAGGCAGTCATGGAGCACCATGGAACCAGCTTTAGGAAGCACTGACCCAAACAGGAGGATTTTTACTGGACAACACACAGAAGCCCCAGAACAATGTATCTGCTTGTTATTTCTCTGCCATGGTCACTCCAAGACATGCCAATGACCAGAGTGGAGTACCAAGGTTCTCAGGAAGGGCAGAAGGAAAAGAATGTCTTTATGGTATCTGAGACGTTTATTCAGAATAAGGGTTAGCCCAATGAAGGTAACTCCCTCATAAAGGCATAGCCACAGAATTCGCAGAAAGGGATTAGAAAATCGATTACAAATAGTTTTTTGATTACAAAAATATTTTTGCCATTGATTAAAATAGCAGGAAGCTACTACAATCATTGATTATACAATGTAGCCATATGTAATCATACAAAATCTTTAGACTATTTTCCCAGGTGGCCGGAAATCAAACCCAAGTGCTGCTATGACATCCAAATCCAGGGCGATGCCCCCCATGACAAAGGGGACCCAGCATCTCTGGATCTCAGTGGTTGAATGGAGGAGAGGAAGGCTTGGAATCTTCAGGCCATGTACTAATGGGTGCTGTCTGCTAAGAGACATGAATCACGTATTTTCAATTTTCCCGAGCAGGACTTCAAGGCTGGCGTGGTGGCAGCATTACTGGGGCTGCACCTGGCTCTTCAGCTTGGCCAGTCTCATGAGACAGTCGTCCCTCCACTGCCTTCTGGCAGCTAAGTGCCCTGGGTCATCTGGGACCTTCCTGCACATAGCCTGGAGAAGGACAGGAAGGGAGACATTAGCAGAAATAACTGCCCAGGAGCATCCCTATGGTTCCTACATTGCTTTTGAAGGCCCAAGAAACAGAAAACCCTCAATAATATATACTTTCAAAATCTTAAGAGACTGAGGGGATAAAGTAAGCTTATATTCACAGGTCACACTGCTTGTAAGGTCTACCAGTGACCAAAGTCAGGAAAAAGGAACCACCAAAATCCAGGGCCAACACTCCCTCCCAAAGACAGAGTCCCACTGGCAGGTGGCAGAGGGGCGGTGACAGTCTGCATGCTCCTCAGCAGTGGGTCCACACACCTGGTTAACTTTCTCAACTGTTGCCCCAGCAAACTCTGGAATGGGTCCAAAAGTCCTCAGGACACGTTTCATCCCTTCGCTGTATCTGTCACAGTAGCTTGCCATCCCTGAAATGGCATGACAAGAATTCACTGTATCAGCAGAAACATCTGTAGTTCACGCTGAGATGCTGCTTCAGAGGGCTTGGTCCCCAGAGGGGTTACCTCTGGTCTCCTCCAGAAAGGTGAGAGATGCGTTGCCTATTCCCCTCAGACACTACTCTGACCTTGCGGTCCCGAAAAGCACTGTGCCCCTTGAGCCTGGTGTACAGCCTGCAATGTGGCATTTGATGGGCATTTGATCAGCTGTGTACTTGCACTTGGGCCTAAGGGGAGGGAGTAATCACAGTGAGGAGTCCATGGTGGGGCAAAGCTGTTTACTTCATGGCAGCCAGGAAGCAAGGAGAGACAGGAGAGGTGGGGTCCCAACAGGCCCTTCTCCCCAAGGCCCTGTATGGACACTTGGAAGACATTCAAATTCCAGATCAGGAGGAAGTGGGAAACTTGTGGCCAAGTCCACACACTTGTAGGAGAGGCAGAAGCTTCCAGACCTTCTCAGGAGGGCTTGTGAGAGGCTGTGCCCTGGGAGTCAGCTCAAGCCACGTTTACTTTAGGATTCTCCAGCTGTGAGGCCCCAGGGAGAAGAGGAGGGTCCCCCTAAACTTACAAGTGCCCTGGAGGGGGGAGGGTGGTGTGGCCAGGAGCCTCTCCAGCCACACCCTCCTCTATCAGTGGCTCCTCACAAACAAATGGCAGCTTTTACACCAATGATCCAAACCCACCAGGCTGTAATAAAAAAACAAAACAAAACAACCCCAGAGATAGTGCAGCACCTAAGAGTAGCAACCACTTCCTCTGGAGGTCAGTTCTGAGGCTCTGTTCCTGGAGAAGGGAACCTCAGAGAAGCAGCACAGCCCACAGTTAAACCAGAGGCTCATTCTCAGTTTCTGTATGGCACAGCAAGAAAAGTTGTAATCTGTGGTCTGCATTTCTTGCTCCTATACATGTTAATCTTTTGGGAAAAATTTTAAAAGGCAGACATACAAAAAATTACAAATAAAAACTTGAAAGAACAATAAAGTCAACAAGGCAAAGCTTGTGAAGGCATCTATTACAGAGTCAGTCCTCTGTGCTCCCTGACTAATGTGGGCTTACTTCCCACACCAGCCTTGGGAGGTGGTTACTGTTGTCTCCATCTTACAGACAGGCAAGTGGAGGTGAATAAAGTACTGGCCAAGCAATACAGCCAGTCAGGGGGAAAGCCAGAGTAGGGATCTGGTGACTGGTTCCAGAGGACAATGCCGAGAGTCCGTCCTTCATGGGAAATACTTTTTAGAAGGGGCCCAAAGGCAGTGAGCACACCACCCTCCTGTTTTTCAGGTACTATTTTATTAGATTAAAAACAAATCCTAAAATATTTGCAAATCCTAAAATAGTTGTGGATAAATGGTAGCTTCTAGGACTACAAAGTTCCTGCAACCCGAGGAGCTGGACTATGAAAACTCTCCTCCTCCCATCTTGATAGGTTCCGGGCGACACTGTGAAGAATGAACTGACATTTCCACTGGTTCCCAGCCAGATCTTAGAACCGTCTAACTCTGCACTCTGGAATGCTCTGAAGTTGAAAACTACATCCGTCCCCATTATCATATTAAGGCAATTAAGTCTTCTTATCATACCAGCTTTGTTTGAAAAATTGTTAGAGGCCTCCTTCCTGTCTACCAGCCTGCTCGACTCTGGAGTTTCTGGTGTCACTGGCTTCTGTTTCTATTTGTTTGAGACTCAACGTTGTTCTCAGTTCTCTCCCTATCAATTTCTCCTGATACCTCAATTATCTTATTTTTCTCAAGAAAAAAAAATAAGAAAAATATGTAGTTATCAGGCAGTGTTTATACACATTTCAAATGCTTAAATATCTTTACCACATACAAGATCTGGTTGAAAAAAGCATGGAATGACCCAAGACTGTATGAATGATACTTTTTCAAGTATCTTGCTTCACTTGCATGTAGGCGTCCCTCCTTACACTGGCTTCCCCGGCTGATGGATGTCTTTCCGCAGAAGCGGCATGCCAGCGCTGGGGGGGTCCTCTCTCGTGCCCTTCAGTTACTCTTAGCAGCAGTCCCCTTTAAGGAAGGCTCATGCCAGCTGCTGGACTGCATTTCTGTGGCACATGTGGCCAGTCTACTCACAGACTCATGTACGAACCCGCCGTGTGTAAGAATGCGTCTAGTGAAACTGCCTTGAGTTACTCATTGGCAAGCATTTCATTAACTACTGTGGTGAAAATCCCCTGAACCAGTGTCTTGGAAACAAAGAGCTGAAGTCAAACAGATTCCCAGAGGTGCTTCCTCCCCTCCCCCCTCAGGGCAGAAGCTTCCTCTCAACACCTAATGCAGCTCCTCAGTGCACCCACTCACACCCGGGCCCTCCCAGACGCGGCTGCAGTTGCTGGAAAGTTCTTCCTGCAGCACTGAGCCCAAACTCATCTGCCTCCCTTTCAGTCTTTCATCTGGTTCCACTCCTTCAAAAACATGAACACACATATGTGACGGCAGTGGTCTTTTTCCGGATAAGCCCATTTCTCAGCATGCTGGTTAAATGTAGACCACGGAGCTAGATACAATGTTCCTTTTTTCTTTCTGCATGTTTTACCAGTTGATGATGTCACTGTTTAAGCAATTACAGAAACTTATGACAAGGCAGAAAAGCAAAGGTAAGTTACCTATGATTTTAGTACTAAAACAAAGATGGCCACACATCTAGGTGGCATCTGTCACAATTTTGATACATAGCATTTTTGATATACTTTAATTTGGTTGGCATTAATTTAGCTTGCCTTTATTGGTTGCTTTACAAATGATATTTTCTTTTTACATCATTCAAAATCTGGTAGACGGAGTTTCACTCCTATCCTCAGCTGTCTTTCAGTTCCCAGCGTACCCTCCCCGGCCTCTGAGCTCAGCTCTGGGCCAGTGGCTGGGCGGCCGGCCCGCAGGCACCGGTCCCTGCTCCTGGGGAGCCCGCAGTCCTGGGGCCTTCGGAGAGGAGGAAACCGCTGCCACCCAGGCAAGCTGCACTGCCAGGAACTCAGGCTCGGCTGCGCTCAGCACAGGGCTGAGTTTTCACACTTTTCCCTCTTTTCCTCCTTCTTTCCTCTAAATAATCTCATCGCCTTCCAACAGCACTTTTCTTCCGCCAAGCAGGAGGAGTCGCAGTCGCAGAGTTCCCATCACAGCTCACTGCACAAAGCCAGTGGGGCAGGGGCTGCAGCTGGGCTCACCTAGGGGCACTGTGTGGGGGCCCCGGCCGTACCTGAGCACCTCCATTTCTATTCAGTAGTTAAAAATGAGGAGGTGAATTTCGGCGGTTCAGGAGACCCAGAGAAATACTCCACAGCTCGGGCCGCAGCCTTGCCGGCGCCTACCTTCCGCATTGAGGTGCATAGTTTCCAGGGGCCCGATGAACGCGTAGCGCATGCCCAGTCCGTCGGACATGACGAGGTCCAGGTCACCGGGAGACACGATTCCTTCCTAGGTGAGGAAGGGGAGCACACAGGTGAGTTCCCTGGAGAGCTGATTCTTACCTTCTCTGGGGCTATATCCCCTGATACTGCTTCAAGGCATTCACTATTGTACTTTGATTAAATTTTGCACAACAAAACTATCATCTACACATGGGTCCTAAAAAGAGAGTATCCTGTGAAATGGGCAAACATGCGCTCCTTTTTCCACACCTGCAATGCATTGACACGCGCCTCCCCTCCCTGCCCCACCCTGCAGCATTTGACTGCCCCAATCTTTGGAGGCAGAAAGGACAGCAGGGCAGAGGAGGGGAAAGATGGAGCACCGGAGGAGAAGGGAGGAGATTTTCTGGATATTGGTCTAGGATGTGGGGAGTAGGGTCTGTGCCATCCAAAGAACCAGAGGTGTTCACAGCTTCACCTGTCTGCACCTCTGGTCTTGTTCCCCTATCAATGAATCTATAAGAAATGCTTATTCTTTGGAATACCGTTTAAAACTATGGCATTGCCCGCCAAGGCGGGGCCAAGAACCTTCTGCAAGGCAAAAGGAAAGCTGTTAGGTGCTCAGCTCAGCCTTCCAAGCCACCATCTGTTTCCTGGCCTGCTCCTGGCCCTTGCACAGTGGCTTTGGGAAGTAGCAGCAGCAATGTGTAAGGTGCTCACTCCCACCTGAGGCCACCGCACCTGGCAGGGGATGTGTGTGTGGATCATCAGGAGGCCAGGCAGCGACTTAAGTATTTCCCCCAGGTATCCAAGAATCAGACCACAGTCTTACTGTGGGACCTGTGCACCAGTTCTTCCCCAGTGGCTTCTGCCACAGAGAGCACTGTGGGGCTGCCGCCCACCCACAAAAGGCCCCTAACCACCAGCAGCCTTAATGGTCCTGGTAGCCCCGAGCCAGAGCCCTGGGGCCCCCTCCCCAGAGACACAGGTGTACACCCAGCCTCCGACTTTCAGGGAGGAACTTGGTGATGGCCGCCAGACATAGGGCAGGGCAGGGCAGGGCAGGCCCTCTGCCTCTCCCCAAAGGGTTGTCTTGCTAAACCCTTCATGGGCCAAAGGTCATCCTCTACCCCACGAAGTGGCCCTGCCTTCCTGAAGCCTGGGCCCTGGAGAGCTGGAGCTCCCCCTGCTATCCTGGCCTCCTGGGACTTCCACGAAGCTGAAGAGGGGACAGGAGACTTGTGACACCCACCACCACGGCTAAGGGACACACAGGTGCTCTTAGGGCTACGTGGGTGTCCAAACAGCCCCAGTTTATCGGAGACACCCTCACGGTGAGGCAGGTTTGAGAGGACGGTTCCACCGACGGCAAGCAGGCGCCATGTCTGACTGAGCACTTTCCATCTCACTGGGTGTGTGTGTGTGAGATATAAACACACAAAGACATGCACAAATCACACAGCATAGGGTAAGTACAAAATGAGTCCCCCTCCTTCCAGGAGACTATCACCCTGACATTGGGGTAGCAGCTCTTGGCTTTGGAGATTGACCATCGATGTTTACATTGCTTGACAAGAGAGCTTGCTTTTTGCCCAGTTCCCATCTTCTAGTTGATAGAATCCTAGACTCATTCTCATGTAACTTGCTTCTGTTCCTCAATATTGTGCTTTCAAGGGTGACAAGGGCTGGGGTGCAGCCCAGTGTTGGAGCACTGGCACGCACCTGGCACACACAAGGCCCTGGGTTCCATCTCCAGCACAGAGTAAAGGGGAGGAGGGAGGGAGGAGAAGGAGAGCAGGGAGGGGAGAAAAAGCTAGAAAGGGACAGCAGGAGGGAGGCGGAGTGAGCAGGATGGAGCCCCCATGTTGTGTGTAGCGATAGTTGTCCATTCCTGCAGATGTGTAAAACCAGGGCTTGCTTAGCCACCCTTCTACTCAGCAGCATTTCAACTCTTGCGGGGCTCTAGTACCCAGTGTACAGAGAACATTCTAGAACACAGCTTTGGCCCCAGTGGAATAGAGCCCTTGGGGCTTACAGCTGGAAATGCTTCCTCTTCCTTTTTATTAGACAATGCTGAGCTGCTGTCTCAAGCACTGCGTCATGATCAATGCTTCCTGCTGCTCTGCGCCTTTTCCAATATGGGTGGTGTAGTGTCACCATTTCCGCAAAATTCTGCTGACCTGGAAGGGCACAAGGATGTTCACCTGGACTGCTGAGAGCACAATAATGTACTCAGTTCACTCAAATGCTAACTACTGCTTCCTCGATTTACAGGAGTGGGGGAGCATCGCTAAGGAGGAGTAACTCACAGCAGGTTCACAGGAATGCTCAGAACCATCCAGAAGCCAATCAGATGGGGACATGTCCTCCTCACCAGTCTTCCCCTCCCTGGCCAGCATCCCTGGGGGGCAAGGGGGGCTGGCTCCTGAGCTCTACCACCCAGCAGCGAGTAGCTTTGACTCCCACCATCTGAGCTTACTGCACCGCACTACAGCTTGAGAGGGACAATTCCTAGATGTTCTCCTCTCCGTCCTACTTCATCTAAGGGAGGGCCCTCTATTTTTCTATCAGTTACTATCCCTGGTGGAGCAAACCAGAAAAGAAAAGAATGTTCTCATGTCTTTGCTTTCTCATTCTTTTCTGCCCAATTTGGGTTCTGTAAAGTAGATTTCACAAAACATGTGGATTTAGCAAGAAGCTAAATCTAGAACAAGGACATGATCACAGGCAGTGCAGTTCAATTCAATACCTTGCTGACAAAAATTTCACACAGCTGAGTAGACACTGGAATTTCTCCCTGTTGCACTTAACATTGAATTAAGTTGCACTTAACATTCACATTTAGGATATATTAAGCTCAGTTTTACTCCTGAGCACAATGTAACCCAGAGCTCTGTGACATTGTGACCTGAAATTATCATAATAATTACAATAAATAGCCATGGCACAAAATGGACAGAAACAAGTGCTAATGTTGAAAGACTGAACTAACAAACGATTCCAGGGAAAATGGATGTCTGAGGAATGCAACCTGACCCTAGGCTAGTTTTAACCTTTATCAGAACAGCTATCAGCACCCTCTCCATTTTGTGGAAAATTCTCAAGTCACAGGTACAAAAGAAAAACCCCAAGTGGTTAGTTAAAGGATTCCCCCAAACTCCCACAGAGCAAGGAACAGTAAGATCACTGTTAGTTCAAAACCTGGCTTTGTACCATGTCCTGAGAAATGATTGGGGGGGCACCCAGAGAGGGTGTAAGGAACCCCCTTTATTGAGAAGTTCCTCGCTTCTGCTTTCTCCAGGTAAAATCCGAGATTCATCGTGTCAGCTGACACACAGGCACAGCTGGAAGGCGTGCTCAGCGCTGCTGCCCTGGGAAAGAACGCCCCGGCTGGATCATCCATGAAACAGGAGAAAACTCAAGGTAGAAAATGAAGTGCTCAATTCCTGTGTAATGAGGGTTAGTAGTCAGGGTTCTGCAGAAGGGCAGATCAGCAGGACACACCCACTCTTATTCAAACACACTCATGTTCACACAGCCACACGAATCTCCTCCCTCCCTGTCTCCATCTTGCCTCAGCATCTGCGGGGAGAGGTTCCAGGACACCCCCTCCCCATAGAGAGACACGCTCAGGTCCCTTAAGCAGCAGGACACAGCATTTGCACAGAACCCACACAAATTTACCCATAAACTTCAAATCACCTCTCGATGACTTCTAATTTAGTGTAAATCTGGGTACATGGTTGGTATTCCATATTGTCCAGGGACTAATGACAAGGAAACAGTCTGTACATGTTCAGTACAGATGCAGTTTTTTCCTACATATTTTCAGTCGACTGTTGGTTGAATTCCTGGATGTAGAATCATTAGTTATAAACAGCTTACTGTGTATGTGTGTGTACATTTATTTCAAGGAACTGGGTTATGTGATTGTGGGCTGGTGAGTCTGAAATCCATAGGACAAACCTCAGAAGGGCAGGGGCTAATCTTACTGCCCACGGTGGAATTATTCTTCCTTAAGGGAGCATCAATTTTGCTTTTCAGGTCTCTCCGTGATTGGCAAAGCACCGTGTCCATGTCCAGACAGCATCTGACTGCAGAGCTGAGCGCCCAGCCTGGTCCAAGGCGTCCAAGGCATCCTCAGTGTAGCAGAAGCTCACAGCACAGGTCTCACTCTCCGGGGTCTGCGATTCCATGCTTCCATGGGTGGGGAGGGGCAGAGGGGCAGGACACGGCTAAGGATCAGCAATCAGTGGAGACACGAAAGACAAACACAATAGGTGCTGTGGTGCCTTGTGTGGCCTCCCAGGACCCAGGAGCAGGGGAAGAGGTACCCGAGGCTGACGAGGGACTCCCTGGTGGCCACAGCCTCTGCTGATTACCAGCTACACAGAATTATTTTCCTTCTTGCTAGTCGCCCCATTCTTGCATATAATTTTCTTTTCAATCCATGTATTTTGCACGGCTCTATTCTCATTTGCTTTTTTCACGTTTCTTCAGGCCTCTTTCTTTATCTAATTTTTTTTTTGCCTTATTTGAAGCTTTTGTCTTATTTTTTGTTTTATTTTACATTTTCTCATACCACCATTCCCAGCTAGAGCACAGTCTTGCTACCTGGGAACATGGATGAGATCCCGAGTCCCCCCAACCCCCTCAACCAGAGACACTAGGCAGAGAGTCTGTTGTCTTGAGAAACAACAGAAAAACAGTTAAAAAGGATAAATCTCAGGTAAATTTCAGGTGGTGAGACAGAGGGGACTCTGCCATCTTCCATCACACTCAGAGAACAGGAAGGATGCTCTGGGCTTGTGTGGATGGCCCCAGTCACGGGCCAGGAGAGGGGATTACACAGAGGGCCACCTCCACTTCTGTGAAGAGCAAGAACAGAACAGACTGAACTTAAAGGTTCAAGGATCAGCGAGTGAAAATAGTTCTAGTACCAAAATAACTTGGGCGAGCCAGTGGCACTGGACAGTACCTCTTAGACATGTCCTCTCCGGAAGCAGTCCAACACAATGCAGGGAGGAACAAATTCCAGGTCTGGAATTTAAATTGAAAATTATGACAATGGCTCATGAGGTTCTTACAAGAAACAGAGTTAGCTCCCTCATCAATATACTGTGACATATTTTTGTTTTCTATTCCCTTGGCCATGCTTTGCCTCTCTTCCATGCAACAGGAACTAATTCCCAAGGAGGGGGGAGAAAGCCGACCGGCCTCCCCCACCCACACCACCTTGCAGGAGATGGTGAGGCAGCTAGATCTTAATAAGGAGAAAATAAGAGACAGCTAAGTGCTGCCCTGCTGTTGCTCACAGGCTGGTGGTTAGCCTGGCCTGTGGCCAATACCTATGAATTTTCTTGGAAGCAGGACAGACATTCCTGCAGAATGACGAGGGCAGATTTTGCTAACTCTGTGAGAGCTCATTAAACACTACCTTTTACTGATTCAACAGGATGCTGAATCATGCCCATAAAACACCTGTCCCATCAAGAGCCCTCAGAGGGGATGCCAGGGGCTGGAGTGGAGGGGCAGAAGGCGAGGACTCCACTGGCCAGGCTGCTGGGAAACGGCCCCACCCCCAGCCTGCAGGCGAGTCTGGTCTCACCTTGTGGGAGACGACTTGGCATCTACGGAATCACCATGAAGATACTGCTCTTGACAGGGCACGCCCAATCCAAGAGCCGAGTCCAAAAACACCCAGCGGAAGCACTGCTGTGGGCAGAGGTCACCAAGGCCTGCACTGCCACAGCAGCACGGCGGAAGTCACCTCAACACAGTCCGACAGATCCTCCTCAGACAGACACACCTCAACACACCCCAACACAGATTCCTTTAAAAACCAACCGTCATACGGCCACTGACAATGGATAAAAACTTGAGCCAAGCATTTATAACAGAGCTGGAAAAGCGCACAGAAAAAGGAAAGCAGTTTGATTTTGGGTGGGGCAAACTTAGGTGGCCTTTTCTCTTTGAATTTTCTTTAAAGTAGCAACAATTCAAAAAACGAACGCGAAAGAAAGCGGAAGATTTTGTTTCAATAAAAGAGATGTCCCAGAGCTCTTCAGGCCCAGTGATAATTCTCTGGTGTCTTTACTCAGTTATGTGGTCACTGCTACATGGTGCATGTAACAGCGTACCAAGGACTGCACGAAGAAAAACTAGAGTATCCTGGAGCTGAAATAATGGGGAGGCCTTGACCTTCAAAGCAAACATAACAATAAAAAGGATATATCCTCCCATCTGACTGTAAGTTGACTACCTTTCATGAAAGCAGTGACGCAGGCTGGGTAACCTATATTTGGAATGCTGGGAGATAGAAGTGTTCCAGAATTTTTTGGAATTTGAAATATCTGCATAGTCTTTACCAGTTGATCATCTTTAATCAACAATGGGAAATTCAAAACTTTTTAGATTCTAACACACTGCTCACAAAGTTTCAGATTTTAAGGCTGGGTGTGTATCCCAGTGGTACACACTTGCCTAGCATGCACCAGGTTCTGGGTTCCTTCCCCCACGCAGAAGTTGCAGGATTTTTAGAGGGACTATATTGGATCTGTAGATCTCTTCAGCTAGGATAGGCCAATTTTCCACTCTCTAAACATGGTTTTCTTTCCATTATTTCTTCAACTTCTTTCATCATTGTTTCATAGTATCAGGGTGCAGATCTTTCATTTCTATGATTAAATTTATTCATAAATATTTTATTTGTTTTTTATAACTATTTTGCTTTTAGGATTTTTAAAAATTTCTTTTTGGTTATTTGTATACATATGTAAATGTTACTAGTTTGTATGTTGCTTTCATGTACTGAACTTCCAACTTCATTATTTGTGAATTGCAACTTTGTTCTATTGGTTTTAGGAGTCTTTAGGGTTTTCTGTAGTAAGATCATGTCAGCAACAGAGGCAGTTTAATACCTTCCTGCCCACTTAGACATCTCTTCTCCCTGTCTTTTGCCTCATCTCTCTGGCAAGCAGGATGCCAAAGAGAAGCAACAGGAGTGGGTGTCCCTGTGGTGCCCCTGATCTGAGGAAAGGCTCTCAGCTTTGAGTTGGAGAGGGATGAGGAGTGCGAAGTTAGCTGTGGCTCTGTCGTCATAAAGGGCTAGGCTGTGTTGAGATGCATTCCTTCTACACCTAATTTGTTGAGAGCTTTCCTCAAGGGTTCAGAATTCTGTCAAATGCTTTTCCTGAATCTACTGTGCGTATGGTTCTGCCCTTTGTTTTGTTAACATGGTGTAGCCTATTTATAGACTGATATTCATGGAGCCATCCTTGCATTTCCGGGATAAATGCCACGCGAGCAGTAGATGGTCCTCCTTTCAACATGCCACTGCTAGTACTCAGCCTGCTAAGAACCCGCTAGCGTCCTCAGGGGAACTGCCTTTGCTGGACAGGGGCTCTCTCCTGGGGGTGAAAGAGCAACAAGGGTCAACCCAAGAAAACCCCGCTCTTTCTTCTGGAGATGCCTCTGCTGTGCAGACATGCTGACCACCCCAGCTCTGGGAGGTGAGGAAGGTTCCAAGAGACCGAATAAGTAATGCCAAAGTAGCAGGGCCAAAGTGGAAGATACTTTTCTGGGAGAAGTGGGACTGGGTACAAGGAATGCAGCTTCGGACACACTGGAGGTGGGAGGCCAGCAGCCTCCGTCTGCACTGCGCCGCATTGGGAGCCAAGAGATGCAGAGAAGGGAAGGAGCCAGGGGCTGGAGCAGCACAGCAACACCCTGCGGAGAGCGGTGAAGAGGGCGGGGCCAGAATGAGGGACCTGCTCCAGGAAGGACCACAGCCATGCAGGCTCACGCGGATATTTTTTGGGGGACACTGGAGACTGAACCAGGGCCTTCACATGGAGCCACATCCCCAACCCCTTTTCCGTTTTTCGTTCTGAAGCAAGGTCTTGATAAGTCTCTAAGTTGCCCAGGTTGGGCTCAACTTAAAATCCTCTTGCCTCAGCTTCTCAGAGTGCTGGAATTATAGGCATGTACCACCAGGTCTGTTTTCACTTGGGTACTTTTTTTTTTTTTAATTTATTGGTACCAGGCATTGAACTCATGACCTCGTACATGCTGGGCAGATGTTTATGCTGCTGAGCTAAACCCCTGGCCACCTTTGGATACTTTAAACATTATTTCTTTAAAAGAAAACAAACTTAACCTTTTAAGGCTAAATTTAAATATACATAAAATGCAGAACACCCTCCAACTGAGGGTGTAGCATGGCAAGCCAGGGCTCAGGACCTCTCCACTCCTCTGACGCCCTGGATGTCCCAGCCTGTCACTCTGCATGACTCTTTTTGCCAGCCACCCTGATATATCACCACGGTCTGAGCTGTAATGCTTTACCCAGACCTCAACTTTCCCCAGACACATTCTTGTGAGCCACAACCTGAAGCACCTATAGCATTTCCAACGCTTTCTCTCCAAAGGAAATGGCTAGCCGGTGCAGCCTTGCCTTCCAGGGCCTGGAGGCAGCCGCCAAGAACAAGCTTCCTCTCGTCATGCCTCTACAGCCTCTATCCCCAAAGACTGCTATAACTTTTCTTACTCCAAAGCCACGAAACAAGAAACTTAGCTGAGTCTTCCCTGCTGTTCTTTGCTCCATCCTGGAACCAGGTTGGTTTATAAGAAAAGCCATCACGGAAATGATGTTCATAGAGAACAGGCCATACAGGGCACTTCCTGAGGTAGCCTCCTGCTTAGAACATGGTAGAGGAAGGAAACTTTTGCCTAGGAATGAAAGTAGAGAACTGGGCCTATAGCCATAGTGATTTATAAAAGCAGAGAAGACTCAACGGACCAACCACCTCCCAGTGAATGCAGGACATGTGAAAGAAATGTAAGAGCTACTTGCTATTTTAGGCCATCTTCCCCACTGAAGTATGTTCATTCCCTGAGTCCCCATGGTGTCTCAGGAGCTTTCTAATTAACATTTTAAGCACAGTGATTCATGACATGAAGGCCACTCATCCACCTGGCTGACAGTACAAGGCCAGCAGCCCAGCAAGCAGGCACCTCCACCTCTCCTGGCTGCACGTAGGACAGACATGACCCCGGCCCCGGCCACACCTTTAAGCTTTTCTGACTGCTGTTCCTCCAGATGTCTGCTCTGCCCACACAGGCCTGTGACCCTGACGGGAAACTGGATTGCAATCTGCACCCCTGCTCAGGAAGCTCCGGGACTGGCAGACTGGGAAATCCCAAATGTGGCTGATGCTAAGGGCGTGACTAGGACAGGCCGGTGCTGCTCTCCACACAGCTCCAAGGGGGCAAAGGGACACTAGGGAGCCAACAATGTGGAAAAGCAATTTCCAGCCCCCTGATAGCCACATTTACCTATACCTTACTTGTTCTCTTATGTTTGTGCTTCAATGAGAAGTAACTACATTTTTTTTATTAAAAAATCAACTTCCACTGTCTTTGGAGGTCACTAGAAGTACTACCTGAACCGAGGACTGGTCGCCAGAGTGCTATCATGACAGTGAGTTCCCACCTCAGTGCATACTAGACAGTGCCACACGTGCGTCTCTCAGGAGCTGGAGTCCAGGGCGACAGATAGATATCTGCTGGCTGGGAACAGTGCAAAGGCAGAAGGCAGCGAGTGAATATGCTGTATCTCACTAGATAAGACTCTATCAGCTAAAAGCTAAATTAATTAATGTTCCATTAAAGAAGAAAAATGCTTCCAATTCAACTAAGAGACGTGCTGTTAATTAGAATATGTGGGTTGACTGGGGGATGGTCAAATGTATCCCTCCAAAAGGATTTATCTTGAAACAGTAGAAACTAATACAGCAAGACTCCAAGGCCAGCCTCAGGGAAGAGCCGCCCTGCTGCAGGCCAGAGGCTCCTGGCTCAGGACAGCACAGTGTCTGGCCTGCAGGACTGGGGAAGGACCTGGAAGGCCGTATTTCTAACCAGCTCTCCACTGGGGCCATGGTACTGCAGCATGGAGTTGCTGGGATAGCCACTACCCACGAGAAGATGGAAGGGCTCTGGAGATAACGTCCTCATGAGCCAGGCTGCACAGACAAGCCCGCTGCACACAGATCTCATTTAACCCTGCCGTCTCCTCGTCATCTTTTCCACGTCAGGGAGTGACCCTGAGACACGCACAGGCATGAACTGTCTACTGGGATGTGGCAGACCAAGCCACTTCCCTTTCTCTTGTTTGTTTTGTTTGAGACAGGGTCTTGCTAGCCTAGGCTGGCCTCGAATTCACCACTGTCCTGCTTCAGCCTCGCCAGTGCTGGGATCACAAATGTGCACCACAGCACTGGGCTTGGGAGGTTTCTTAATGTGTTAAAATAGAAAATAACATGCCTTGCCTGGTGTTAAGGCCTGACCAATCTGAAAATGTCTGAAAATCATCAAAACAGAAAGTACAGTACTCCTCACAAACTCTGAAGTGCCACAAACACTGAGGTGACGGGCAGGAAGCCAGTTCTCCTCGGTCAGCTCTGCTGCGTCCTGATTCCTGCAGCATCCTTGAGTCAGTGACTCAACAAAAGGCCAGAAACTTGCCACAGGAAGCTTGGTCAGTGAACAGATGGCACGGTCTTTGAGGTTCCTGCATTAGCTGGATCAGCTCCTCCCAACAGCCGGCATGCACAACTGAAACGAAGTCTGGTGACGAACTTCCGCAGTCCCAAGCGCCCCATCCAGATGCTGCAGCTCACACCTCCCAGGTCATAAGCCAGGAACCGATTCTGCAACTCAGGGAGGAGGGGGCCGGAACACTGCCCTCCCCACAGGGCAGTCTCCTGGAAGCTGGTTACCTTTAACTATGAGCCCTCCAATCAGCAAACGCTTGGTCAGGCTCTTTGGTGATACTCCCTGACCCTGTTCAAGGCAGTGCTTGCCAAAAAGGAAACAAATGTCTCTCCCTCCCTGAGTCTTCATTAAACTGAGCTTGCATGATAGGAAGGAAGACTGAGAGTGACACCAGACCTGGACAGACTTTGTCACAGCTGTTCTCCATCTCCTGGGCCCACTCAAGTTCTACAGAAAATTATTTACAAGTCGCTGTCTGTCTCTCAGGCCACCCTTCTCCCCTAAACACAATTCACTACCCCTCAAAACTGATCGGTATTTTCCCATCTCTCTCTCCCACTGGGTGAAGGGTATACAATCGTCTCATGGAGTACTGTGGAATACTATGTGCTCTCTGCTCTATGGGGCCCTCGTGCATGTTAGTATGTTGTACGCCTTATCTGCTGTCAATATGTCTATTGTCAGTTCACTTCAGCAAACCTATCCAGAGCAAAAGGGAAACTTTTTCTTTGCCCTTACAGAACTCTTTTAGGAATTGTGTCTCTTACATGGATGGATAAAACTTGAGGTAAGCAGTTTCTAAAGCTCATCACCAAAACATGCCAACAGGCTGAGAACTTTCTAATGGCTCCATGCCTGTCTCCTCACTTACCTTGCCCCAACTGGATAAGAATGCATGAGCAATAAACTCAACTGTTGTTTAGCCAGAGCTTTTAATCAAGACACAACTTCCCATGAACTTGAAATCACATTCCCAGCCAACAGGATGTCGTCACCCAGTGACTCTGCCTCCGTTAGGAAGTAAGTCTTACTAGACTACAGCTAGCCATGCCATGCAGCATTGCCCAGTTCACACAGGGATGATCTGTCCCAAGTCTAAAGCCAAACTGCAAGAGGAAGAAGTGCAGAGAACATCTGTGAGACAATGCAGAAGACCCTAGCACCTTCATTCCTATGGATACTGTGCGCTTATTCTGCTCCAGAAAGTCTAAGTGCTAACAGGGCTGTATGGAGACCATCAAGGAATGGACAAGACTGTGGGCCAGGGCCGGAGCACCCAGAGACAGGACAGAGCTTCTTCCTCCCAGCACCACCTCCCTCTGATCCAGGTCTGCTGACCCCTTGAGAAGCACACAGCGGAACACCTATAGGGCACCATCACCCTGCCGCTGCCTTTTTTTTTTTTTTTTTAGAATTTCTCTTGGATGCTTGCTGTAAAAGTATTCAAATATGCCCTCCAGTTTTAGTAAGATGGAAAACAGGGAAAAAAATAGAGAAAAGTCAATAAAGTAAACAAATTTTGTTACAAATTAGACCTCAAATTTCCCCAAGGCCCAAGTGTTAAAGGCTCAGTTTCAGCTTGGTGCTGTTGGGAGGTGATGGAACCCTTAAGAGCCAGGGCCTCACAGGTCTTCAGGCCTCTGGGGGTGTGGCCTTGAAGGAGATGAGACTGTGGCTCTTCCTCTTTCTCTTATTACTTTCTGGTTGCCATTAAGTGAACAGCTGCCTTACCACAGGCCCAAACTCGACAGTGCCAACCAATCATGGATCAAAACTTCCCAAGTGACGAGTCAAAATACATATCTCCCTTATTAAGCTGATTAACTCAAATGTTTTGTCATAGCAATGAAAAGTGATTAACACAGTTTTGAATTCAAAAAATCAGTACAATTGATAAGCCTCAAGCAAGATAACAAGAAAACAAAGCAGGCGTTTTTTAGTAAGACCCTACTCCTCCATCCCCCAAATTATAATCTTTTACAAAAAACAGAAAGGATGGAAAAATTTTCCAACTCATTTTACATGGCCAATATTATCTTGATATCAAAATTCAAGAAAGATGGTACCAAAAACTATAGAGGAATACTTTCTATGAATTTAAATGTAAAACGGTCTCAATAAATCAAAAGCAAATCAAACCTAGCAATGTCTAAAATGCCTAAATGTCTAACATACTACACAATGATACAGGCATTGTGGAAAAAAGGGTGGACATTCCCAAAAAACTAAAAACTAGAACTCTCATGTGATCCAACAGTTCCGCTTCCAGGCACAGATCCAGAAGAACTGAAAGCAGTGTGCTGAAAAGACACCTGCGCCTCAGTGTTAGTGCAGCACCATTCATATTAGCCGGGATATGCAATCAGCCTTAGTGGCCGTCATTGGATGAATGGATAAATACACACAGATTACGGGTCAGAATCCTATTCAGCCTTAGAAAAAAAGAAAACCCCATCACTTGCAACCAGCATGGACCTGGAGGACATTAGGCTAAGGGAAATCAGCTAAAACAGAAAAACAAGTGCCTCATATTCTCACTTACACGGGGCACGTAAAGCAGCTGAGCTCAGAAGCTGAGAATAGAAGGCTGGTTACGAGAAGATAGGAAGCGGGCATCTTAGTTACTTCTCTCTCCTTGCTGAGACAAAACACCCGATCCCAAAGTTAACAGAGGAAAGGTTTGTTCAGCTCCCAGTTTACAGACATGTCAGTCCCTGTTGCTGGCTCCACAGCAGGGTGGCACAGTAGGGGCAATAGTTCATGGCAGAAAGAAGCTAGCAGAGCAAGCGAGAGCCCACACTGCAGTTTCCACCCCTCATACCTTACCCAGGCTACTCGGGCTGGCAGCACGCACACCTTTACCCCTAGCATTGCACCACGAATGAATCCCAGAGCTACAGTGTTGGTCCACACGCCTCTGAAAAGCCCCACTGTGACTGCATGAGACTTTGGTGGGGACATCTAGACACAGCCGTAACAGAGAGATATGGTCAAAGGCATGGAGTTTCAGTTAGACAGAAAGAGTAAGTTTTCAAGACCTACCGTAACAGGTGACCGTGGTTAATCACAATGTATGCCAAAACCACTAACAGAATAGATTCTAAATGTCCTCACCACAAAAAGATAAGTGTGTGTGATGTGATGGGTATGCCAGTCAGCTTGGTATCACCATCTCCAAATATACCAAGCCAGACAGTGTACGCCATAAATATACACAATTATTATCTGCCAACTTAAAACAAATCTTTACATTTTAAAACAAAAGGAAATGATGGCTAACGGAGAGTTAGTCTTCACCAAGCTGGTCCACACTCAGCAGCCAGTGTAATTTCTGAAGCAGGAGTGAGCGCCACCCAGCGTGCTCTGCTCCTTCAGTACTAGCATCAGGACAGCGCCACAGCTGGGGAAGTCCAGGCCTGCTCAGCCCGGCCCACTGCCCATCCTACTCTAGTCACACCACTCTGGGTCAGACCCCGAGGAAGGCACAATTGGATCTGATCTGCTCCATCTAACTATGGATTTAACAGCCCTAACCAACGAAAGCGCCAAGCTTGGGACAAGCAGAAAAGGCCCTGCCCGCTTCCAGTGCAGCTCTGTGAATCCAGAGAACAGGGAGACAGAGCGTCCTCAAGGAGCCCTGGGGACGAGCCCCACCCGGAAGCTCATGCTGTCTTGTCACTGGTCTGGGCTCAGGAGTCAGTTATGTCTGTTCATAGATGGAACCCAGCCCTGGCCTGACTTACAGGATGTGCTGCAGGGCCTGCAGAGCTCCTGAACTTCAAATGCAACTGGCCTTTAGTCTCGCTGTGCAACTACCTCCAGTTCTGTTCTTTGTGATAGTAAGTTGCTCTATAAGGTCAGTTCCTCTATTTGGTTGTTGTTTTTGTAGTACTGGGCTTCGAACCCAGGGGCACTCTGCCACTGGGCTACATTGCCAGGTCACTTTTCAAATTTTTTAGTTCGAGAAAGGAGCTTTTACGGTTTGCCCAGACTGGCCTTGAGTGTGCAATCCTCTTGTTTCAGTCTCTCAAGTAGCTGTGTTTATAGGTATGCAACACTATGCCCGATGCTTTTAAAAGTTTTAAGATAAACTTGGAACACCCCAAATCTCAGCTCAAACTGAACTGTCAAAATACCCCAAAATGCACGTTCAAGTTTGACTGGCTGGGAAGTGGTGAGTCGGGGGAGTGTCATTTAATCCGCACCTGGCCCGTGGACGTGGCTCGGCACAGGTATGCAGATTTGCAGCAGGGGAGGGAGCAGCCTGGAGAGGTCAGTCTGCTGGCCTTTGCTGACTCGCAGTATCTGAAGAGCAAACAAGCAGCATGGACTTTCTTACAAGAAATTCATGCAATAGTCAGGTGTCCCTAAGCCAGTTCATTTAAAGTGTGCAATGCTGAGCACTTGCTGCCTTCATTGGGGGTGCTTTGCGTCTGGTGCAGGACTGTTGGGAAAAACAAGGTGTCATGTGGTGGCACCCTGCATGCCAGTGTCCTCGGCCCTCCCACGTCACCTCTAGTTCCGGAGAGGCAACCCAGGGGCTGCTGCCAAGCAGAGCCAGTAAAAGGAGGCATCAAAGTGGACTCCCAGCCTCTCCGCTACCCTGCTCTGTGCACTTTACCCCGAGCTCACTGTCACCAGGGCTTCTGTGCCATCTCAGCTCCCACCCAACCTGGACAGAAATACCTCGCCTTCTAGATCAGTCTTAGTCCTCACTGTGCAGAGCACCTTGGTTTTGAACAGACTGTCTTCTAGACTTTTCTATAAGGCAAATCTGTGAGTCCCCATCTCACATCCTTCATCTTTCTATTTCTGTTGGCCTCTTCTCATATTGGCAACAATTTAACCTGCCAGATGTGAGCACTCAGCTCCTTATGGGGACCCAAAGAGTGAGCCCAACAGATTGTCACATTCAGGAGTCACTTCCTAGAAGGACTGTCATCCTGAAAGCCAGCAGTGAGGACATTCTGCCAGCTGCTTAACACAACCTCCCTCAATCTGTCAGGCACCCTGTAAACAGGGTAATCCAAAGAAGGGCACAAACCCAAGCCACCAAGAACTTCAGAACAGCAAATTGTATCTTTCTGGCCTGTCCCTTCCAGCAATAAGAAGACCCCAAAACTCTGCTTGGGTCTTCCCAACTGCAGTCAGCTGTGCTGAGCTGTCAAAACAGTGCACATGTACCTCCCACCCAGTTCTCTTATATCAGTCTCCAAATTCTTCTTGGTGTTGGCTTACAAATTCCACATTGAAGAAAGCAAGCCTCAACTCAAGCACTAAAATGTCTTATAAGTAAAAGTTAAAACTTCTACTCCCCCAATGTTTTATTGAACTAATGAATTATTCTTGAGATCTATCAAATTGTTGTCATATTCTAGATAGGTGGTAGCATTCTAAGTAGGTCTCAAAAGAAGCTACTTAAAGCTCAGTGTTTCCTTGAAATACTCTACCACTGACTGGGCTTGAAAATGTTGTGCACACTTTAGGAAATTAAGGCTGCTGGTGTAACCATGGAAATCCCGTTGTCACATCTTGTAGGTGTGGGAGGGAAGTGGATCTAGGCAATGAATGGTGGCATTAAGCTTTGGAGCCAGCTGCACAGGGCAGGCAGGTCGGGTGATGAATCTAGCAGGAGGAAGGATTGAGTGTCACGTACACCAGGCACATCTGTGGGAGTCTGAGGAACTGCCGGGCACCACTGGCTTTCAGGCTGCAACACAACGCCCACGCAAGGAGAGGCCCAGCTGGCTTCCTGGTGCCTGTCTCCGGTGAGGCCTGCTGTGCTGTCCTGCGAGTCACCATGAGGAACTGTGGGGCTGTGCCAGGTGCCCAGCACCCCATCCTGCCTGGCACTAGGGAGGGCCTCAGGCACTCCCCACCACCACCACCACTGCAGTGTGGTGGGGTAGGGCTGCTGGTGGGCAAGAGCCAAGGTCTGACCCCAGACTCGGTGACTTTCACTCTGTGTCCTGGGGCTGCTCTGACCTCTCTCCTGCCAGGAACCAGAACCGCTGGGCAAATGTGCATAGGAACATACACAGCTAGACATGTCCTCACATGTAAAGTGCTGAAAGATGAGGCTAAATACAGACAGTCATTCCCGGTGTCCATGAGGATACATTCCAGGGCCCGCCAAGGCACCAAAATCAAAGACTGCTCAAGTCCCTCATATCAAATGGTACACTATTTACAAAGGACCTGTATACTCCCTCCTGTACACTTGAGATCATCTCTAGATGACATCAATACATAATACAATGCAACTACATGTAAGTAATTGTTACATTGTACTGTTGTGGGAATAATTGCAAGAAAAAGATCAGGACATGCTCAGAAAATGTTTGTTTTGCTTTGGGTGGTGGGCACTGAACCTAGGGCCTCATGTGTACTGTGCTCTCCACCTAGCTGTACCCTCAGCCTCTCAAATATTTCTGACCTAAGGTTAGTTGAATCTTTGAATGTGGAACCTACGGATATGTTCAGCCAACTATATATATGAGAAAATTAGTTCCTATGTGTATGTAAGAGGGATTTATTGCTAGTAAATTCAATGTTTATTTTTTATTTCCCAAGTTCTTGAAATAAATTAGTTTCCTTCAGGGAATAAAAGTTTATACAAAATATAGCCTTTTTCTCCTGAAAATTTTTAACACTGAGGATGGTAAGAGCCACATCTATGAGAAAATACTGCCTGTCACACACAGGTAATTGTGTGGAAATGTTATGAAAGACAGCAGAGAGGTTGTCACCACGCTCTCATATCAAATAACAACACAAGGAGAGAAATCTCTCAAACAGGGAACTTCCAGGTTGCATTCTGTCTCCAAGCTGCTCTTTCCACAGACAGGACAGAGCAAGGAGCATCATGCAAGGCACCCACAGTGCCTGGAAGTGACCTCCGCTGTCCCACTGAGTGTGTGCATGGGGTGGGCACCAACCTCCACCAGCCTCCAGGCCTCGCTGATGATCGCGTACTGCAAGCGGTTCAGGACGAAGCCATCGATCTCCCGCAGGAGTCGCACGGGGGACTGTCCGATCTTCTTCATGAGGACATGGGTTCTGTCTATCGTGGCCGGGGCCGTCTCAGGGTGAGGGACCAGCTCCACCAGCGGGACATAATACGGTGGGTTCACCTGAGGGAGGGAAGGAGGAGAGGTCAGGGAGGTGGCTTTCAGGTACTGCTCAGTCTCAAGCAGAGGGGCAGACACAGCTCTAAAAGATCCTTAGATACAGTATCCAAGGACAAGTCACTGGAGAAAGAGACACCTTCACAAAGGAGACAGAGGAACGAACTGGAGGCCAGAGTTGTGGTGTATTAAAAGGAAGTCATAACCAACATGCAAGGTTCTGCTTCTACTTTCCAGGCTTTTGGCTAAACCCCAGGCCCTGCTGCTCCAGGGGAGATCTCTGCAAGCAGCCACCTCACCTTCCCAGCCTCCACAGCCTCCCTCTCTCCAGCCTCTGACATCCTCCCTGCATGAAGACGAATGGCTTCTCTCAAAACTTAGTATCTGCTTCCTTCCTCCATGCTGCACCTCAAACGTCTACCTCCCAGCCTGATGCCCCTCTTTGGCTCTGGCAGTCAGCAGGCCTTGCGGCACCACCTCCTGCTGGCATGGCCTGAGCCAAAAGGGGGGCAACTGTCTGAGGGGGCCCCGGGAACATGCTGACCCATCCCAGGACTTAACCTTCAGCTCTGGTTTTCTGGGTTCACTTTGAGAAACTGTCTGTGGCAATTCCCCCCATAAGAATTACCAAACATCAGAAGAAAATGCTGCTGAGTAGAGTCTGTCCAGCCTGCACTGAGCCTGGTGGGCCACAGCAACCTGATCCCGGCAGGGCTGGGGATGGCAGCAGTGCTGGGGCCAGGGGCCTGAGGGTTAACTGAACAAAGTTCCAGTTCCGGAAGATGCGGCGTCCTGGACACGGATGGTGGAGGCAGCTACACGGCAGTGACTGTATTCAGTGCCCCAACCACACACTTTCAGAGTTCAACTTTACGGCATGTGTACTTTATTACAATTTAAAATAGAAAATGAGTTACAACCAGGTCTCTGATCAGACTCCTTTCAAATTTCTGCAGCAATTGCCCATCTCCCACTCTAAGGGGCACAGCGCGCTAGGGTAGTTGGGACCCTTGGCAATTTGGCCCTTTGCATCCCACGAAATGGACCTCAATCTATACTTTCATGTCCCTGTGCACGAGCCAGGGGCTGCTAGAGGGGATTTGAGGTACCTCTAAGCTAGAGTGGGGTCACTCTGGCCAGAGCCTTTGAGTGATGAGGCCAGATCTGTTCCAGGCTCAGAGAAGCAGTGTGACAATGGTGATGGTGCTCCTTAGTGTCACACAACAAAGAGAGGACAAAATGGAAGGGCCCTTGCTTGACAGGCTAAAGGGCAGACAAGCTGCCCAGGACACACTTGTTCCTTTCTAGGGCCCTTATGTCAGGACACATGCCCTCCAGAAATGGGGAAAAGACACAGCCAGGAAAGGAGGCACTGTCTGAGCTGTCCCAGGAGATGGTCCTTGGCTCAGCCAGGGTAGCTGTGTGCGGCTGGAGGCAGAGGGGCCACAGCCGCCAGGCTCTGTAGGAACCCAGGCTGGGCTAGCACAAGGGGAGCATTCTTTGTCCCGTCAGGGATCTGAAACAGAGCCTGCAGCACGTGATTGCAGATAGCACAGCACGCCAACAGAGGCTTCCTTCACCCCTTCTCTGCGGATGGAACCAGTCAGCCCCACAGGGAAGCGGCTGCCCTCCCAGGAGACGGTCGGGCCACTGGCCATTCATCCACGCAGCATGGGGGTAGGGCAGGCCCTCTTCCACTTCCTGGGCACGAAGCACAGGCTAAAGACGCTGGGCAGAGTCCTGAATGCCCTATGTTTTGAGACTTTCTGTAGCCAGCGCTCTCATTCCAGCACAGCTGAAAGGAGTCCTCTGAACAGCATCACAGGCCTGGACCAAGCAGCAACATGCAGATGCACGAGGAACAGAGAGACACACACCCACCCCAGGAGCAGCAAGCCCCTCAGTCAAACATGTAAGTCACCACCAACACCAGGCACTGCCCTCTGCCTGCCCCCAGCTGTGGAGATGTCCAGAAGCCCTGCTCCCGCCCCTGTGAAAGGTGCCTGGGAAAACACATGGATGTCATAATATGCTGGTGAGAGGCTTCCCTGGGCAGGGGTGGAGACTGCAATCTTTCGCAATTGCTTAATATCTATTTTGCCAGGGCCCTTCGGGGGCATGAGCAAACTTCCTTTTCCTTTATCCTACTTCCTGCTCAGGCAGAAATCACCAAGGGCTGAAGAGCTAAGGCTGAGAGCTGAGGGCTCAACTCTCCAGCCTGGCCTGGGAGGCTGAGGAAATACCTGGGAGCCTCCAAGGTTAGCAATGGTTCTTGATTATCAGAACCTATCAAGACAGCTTTCTCCCAGGCTGAAAGGGAATGGTCAGTTCAAACACAGGAAAAAAAATAGGAGTGCAGGATAAAGGAAGGACAAACAACAGGTTATCTAGTTTGCTTTAATTAACACTGATTTTGGTTTTAAACATTCTATAAAAACAATATGAGATTAATTTTTTAAAATAAGGTTTTAGCTCACTGAACAGTACCATGATGGGCCAAGAGCAGGAAGGGGTATCATGTGAATTACTGGCTGTCCTGCTGGGTGTGACAGAGCAGAGAGTGACTCTGCAGGCCTCTGGCCCGTGAGGCACTGTAAGGACAGGAGATGTGGGGAGAGTCCTGTCACAGAGCCTAAGAAGTAGCTTCTAAACAATGTGATGGTTTCTGAATAATTTTTAAAAACCTACCTAGAAGCAAAAACATGGACTAGAAATTGTGCCTCCCGCTCAGTGCGTCCGATGCCATCAGGGTTTCCCTCCTGTTACCTTCCCGACAACATCTCTACCACATGCTGCTGCTCTGCACTGAGCCCATCCCAATTCTTCAGAGTTGCTCAGAATTCTCCATGAATTCTGCTACAAACTGAGCATCTTTAGGCTTAAAATCCAAATGCTCCAGAAACCTTACAACTTTTTTGTACCAGGGATTGAACTCACGACCTCGCACTTGCCAGGCAGGCACTTATGCTACTGAGCTAAATCCCCGGCCCTAAAACTTTTGAGTACTGATATAATGTTTTAAAAAGATAAAAAATCTTCTGGGTTTTACATTGTTTTTGAATTTCAGATTTTTTGGATTGGAACAGTCAACTGGTAAAAACAAATATCCTGAAATCCAACCCCCACTCCTAAATCTGAAACAGCCCTGGTCCCAAGTGTTTCGGATAAGGGACGCTTGACTTGAATTCCTGAGCCCTCTAGACTTCCTCCACTGCTCCCCAAGTGAGTTGCTCCCCAGCGATGCGGTCTCCTCCCCTCCTGCAGCCCTGCATGCATCCTTGGTTTGGGTTTTGCTGTGTCTGTCTGGGACCCCACCCAGGCCAGCCCTGGCAGGACCATGTGGCTCCACCTAACCTTTGCTCTGTGACACTCTCCTGGGGAAGAAGTCTCCTCAGTAAATCCAGAGTTAGGGAACAGGACCCGTGCCTCAAAGTCCAACCTCCTGAATCGGAATCAAGTGTGGGACCCAGAATCTGATGGTTAGAAAACCGATCCTACTCTGAATTGCGTTCAGTAAACTACACAGGACAAGTGACAAATCTCCAAAATCATTCTTGGTGTGCACACTTTCAAGGCAGCACTTTCACCTTCATGGTGGAAGTACTTATTTAGTAATCAGTCAGCCTCCTCCACTGCATGATGAACTGCTAGAAGACATGTTAGGTATGCAGACAAAAACCCGAAGAATTTTAGATTATAGTCTTTTTTAAAATGCTGATAGCATCTCGATAAAACAATTCAAAATACTGGGGGATTTGTTATTGCCCTCCCCCTAAACCACACTGAGATACAATAAACCCCCCAGGTTTATAAAAAATTTTGAAACAGTTTCTTACACAAGTAAGTAACCCCTCAAAGTCCTGGGCTCTAATGATTCTCATGCCTTAGCATCCTGGTAGCTACGACAAGTACTCTCCAACACGCTGGCTCCTCGGGTTTCAAATACTCACTGGATGAGCCACGATGCACTGTTTCACGTGTATCAAACCAGCAAAGAGTTTGGAAGGCAGGAGGCAAGAGCTTGAACTGCTTAAGATGGCTCTGTCGTCCACAATGCCATCCAGCTGGGCAAAGACCTTCTTCTTCAGCTCTAGGTTTTCTGGAACGCATTCCTGAAAAAGTACATTTAAAGGCTAATTCATGATCTTGGAACACAGCAAGGCCCTGAGCGAGGCACTGCATGTTCCCTGTGTTCCTAAAGGGATCTAGCTTAAAAAGCAGGGTTCAGGGCACATGACCCCAACATACAGCAGTTTGGATTTGAGAAAACAGCTAAAACAGGAATGTGTCCCTGACCTTTATTCCCCTTTCTTGGAAGCCAGCTTCAGTAAAGTTCTCTGCCTGCCCCCAGCAGGTCATAGGACCCTCACGTGAGTGGCATCCTCCCGGTAACAGAGGAAAAGAGCATCCTTGTCTCTGAAGACACAGGGCGCAGGAAGGATCCCAACACACCCCTGCTCATCTCCAGCTCGTGACCGCTGGGTCAGATGTCCTTGTGCAATTGCACTCTGTGCAGCTGTGCACTTGTCACCAACCAAACCTGAGAGTTCGGGACACAGACTTCCCCGTTTCTTTGGGTTTTCATTTCTCAAAGTTCCACGTCATGTAAAATTCCTTTTAAATAAACTGTACACGTTTCTCTTAATCATCTCAATTTTGTTAGAAAAGCCTCAGCCTTGAACCCCCAAGTGGTACAAGGAGATTACTTTTTCCCCCTACGAGAACCACCAGGGAAATTAAAGCATGGAAAAGATCACGCAACACATGAGAACTCCTCGCTTCTGGAAAGGGAGTGATCAGTATCCATCTTTTGTCCTTTTGTATAGGGCTGGAAATTCTCACCATCAAAAACCTGCTGGGGGAAGCTGGGGTAGGACTCAGTGGTAGAGCATCTGCCTAGCAAGTTAAGGTCCCAGTTTCAACCTCTGGCATCACAAGTAAGTAAATACGTAAGTAAATAAAGAAATGAAGTCTGTCAACCAAAAACCCTTGCCATAAAGAGTGCCACCTATCTGGGGACAGGTCCCACAGAGAACCCTCAGCAACAGCCCAGCAAACTGCTGCCAATCTCGGTTGTGCCATCATGCTTCTCCTGCCTTCTCCTGTCCTGACCATCAGATCACCAGGTCTACAAGAAAAAAAGCTTATCTTAGAATTAGCTCAGCAGTGTAAGTGCCTACCTGGCAAGCACGAGGTTGTGAGTTCGATCCCTGGTAACATTAAAAACAAAAGAAATCCCTGAGAATCCATCTCTAATTAGAAGCCCTTCTGAAAAAGACCTTTCTTTGTTTCTAATCACTGAAAATTACTTTAATAGGGTGGGGTGGAGCTAGAGAAATAAATTTGATTAATTACTGATGATAACTGTGGCTCAGAGATTCTAATTACAGAGCTGGGTGGGAGTGCTGCGATGACAGCCTCATACTTCATGGGCAGCCTGCCCACAGCAGGGTGTGGTCCCAACAGCCCAGGGCAGGCAGACCCCATCCCAGTGTGGATGCAGACTGGAAGCACCAGGGTCATCCCTGTACCTTTTTTGAAAGTCTATACAAACATAATATTGACTACCTCTCCTGTAGCAGCCACCTGTACCTCTGGGGATCACACCAGGGTAGGGTCTGGGCTCACCTGGGGCAACAGGATTTCAGCATCATGAGTCTCACTATGAGCCAATAAGCACTGGTCAACTGACAGGATCTTAGCTAAAAGCGCAACATCTCAGGTCCCCAGCCCAAACCTGCTGAGTCCGTCCTGGGGTGACAGTGCAGCCCATACATCTGCACTTTTAACAAGTATTCTAGTGACTCCCAAAGCTTGGGAAGCAAAATTCCAAGCTGTGGATCCAGTGTGAATTCTCACTACCCTTGAAAAAAAAATGGTTGTTCTCCACATTGGTGCCACCAAATGTAGCCAACAGGATGTTCTTTCTACCATCAAGTCAAAGTGCCCTCCTCCACCATACATGCCCTAAAGGGAAACAGAGGTCTACTGGCTTCATGGTCACTTTATGGCCTCTCACCACCTGGATAACTTCACTGAAATGCTAAGTTTCTCTATCATTTAAGATAGTGAAAATAACCAGAAGTGTGCAAGAATAGAAATTCAGTGTTGAAGTACTACTATAAATTGTATCAGAATCAATCCTCAAAAGTAAAGCAAATCTTTCCAAGTTTGATTTAACTTCATCTAATAGCTCATAATACTGCAGTCTCTAATATACTCAAACCAGCTATGTGGATGCAGGACACAGGAATTTATTTCTACATCATCTGCAAGATTTTTTAAAAAGATTTATTCAAAGGAGAGGTAGTCAATATTATGTTTGTATAGACTTTCAAAAAATATAATCAAGCCATGTGAAATTGTATTAAGAACAGAAGGTCACATAAGCACCACATTTCAAAGGCAAGAAAAAAAAATGGAGTCATTTAAGAACTGTAAAGCCCATTGTGTTAAATTTCCTTATCAAGTGGGGAAAAAGAACTACAGTGGCTGGCTGGACGTAGTGAGTCATTCCTGGATCAGTTAAGTCTGCAAGTTGGGTTAAGTTTAAATGGAGCCTTGTAGCCATGCCAGAGTCTAAGAACCATGCAGATCACGGGGGAGCGAATGAAAGGGTGGCGGTGAATGGCTGCATTGTGAAGCTGTCATGCAGATTCTCCCCTGAAATTCTATGCCTTTCTTCAGATCGTCTGATTATCAAAGAGGCAAGAAAACTTGAACCAGAGGAAACCCAAACCTGCTAGAATTATGTAAGAGTTTTCAGCAGCACTTTGGCTTGCAGGCGGTTTGTTCCTATTGCTGTTTTTAAGGGTCACCCACTTTTGTGGGAGGTGTCTGGCCTGGGCTGCCACACCTCTGGCGACACCACACTCTGAGGTCGCTCCTTACTTTTCACTCAGGCATCTGCTTGAGAACCGCTGATGCCACACACATCACAACTCCGTCCCTGGCCGGTAGCACATCCCTCATTGCGGAGAGGGTGCTGTCCTGCTTCTAAAGGCCTGTGAAGAAAGGCCAGGAAGAACGGCAGACACACAGATTGGCTTAGCGCAGCCCGGGTGCTCCGAGTCGCCTGCCATCTTCTCAGCTCGCCCTGCCTTTGGGGCCTTGCTGGAGAAAGCCGCAGTGTGCCGACTGCGCAGGCAGCAGTCTACTTGCCTTTGCCTCTGTCGGCTTCCGCAGCGCCTCTCAAGCACTGATGTTTGCTTGTCCACTCAGGTTTTGTTTTTAAGGGCAGAAGACACAACCCATGCATGCCCGGTTCTGACAAGCAAATCAAAATTCTGGGAAGTAAAGCATGATGAAATTTCCCCAGTATTCACAGTGTATGGAAAGGAGCTTCCTCGGCCTCCCTCGCACAAGCTCAAGCAGAAGCAGTAGGTGAGGTTAAATTTCAACACATCTCTTTCCTCTCCCTCCAGAAGGGAAAAAACTGATAATATTACAAGTATAACTAACTTTTTTTTTTTTTTTTTTTTTGGTACTGAGAATCAAACTCAGGACCTTGTGCTTGCCAGGCAGGTGCTTATGCCGTTAAGTTATATCCCCAGCCCTCATTCTTGCCTTTTTAGTCCTGAATAAATGTCCGTGTTTTATAGAAAGCACCCAGGTAGTTTAATTCATAAGGACCCTGCTTTGGAAAAGCAGCATAGCTGTGGTAAGTCAGCTTACTGACTCCTGAGGTAAGTAAACACTTTCTGAGCTGACCTGTTGCTATACAGCATATATTTTCCAAAAGTGTGTGAAATAAATGAAAAAGAAAATTGTGCTGAGCCTCCACCATCAATGTAGGCACTTTGAATAGGCATCCTGTCCCTAGAAGATCTACATTAGCTAAGGCAAAGTATCTGGAAGCCACCTTCAGTGTGCTCTCCCGCAAGAAAACCCAAACAGGAGACTTCAGTACTTCAGGTATCAACATGCAAAGAACTCCAGTGGCCAGTTTTAAAGGGGAGGAAGAGAGGGCAGGAAAGGACAGGGGAGCCACACTCCTGCTGAATCACAGCAGCAGGAAACTCACTCTCAGGGAGGATGAAAGCGCTCTGCACTCCGGAGGTCACTGGTCTAATCTCTGTAACCATCTGTGGAATTAACACTGTGGGTTCCTTTTCAACTTTGTCTTTCCTAAGAGCACAATCTCTAAATTCTGCCAGATTAACAGACTGCTATGACCTCACTTCTCCAGAGGCAGACGTGAGGGTGTGGGAGCTGTGCGAGGAGCAAGCCGGGAGGAAGCAGAAGAGGCCGTGCTCGTCCAGAGGACAGAGTGCGATGTGCTAAGGAAAAAGAAAAGGAGCAGTACCGTGCTTTTCTACCTCACAGGTGGTCGGTGGCACCGTGCCCTATCTGAGGGCTCGTTTTCTTTCCTTAAAAATCAAATTTAAAAAATGGAAAGCCTATTATAAATATTAAAGCTATCTCTACAGTTATCCAGGACAAATTCTACCCAATCCAGAGAGGCCTTTCCGCAGTGAAGCTCAGCGTAGAGTGTATTCAGGAGCTGACGTCCCGAGGCTCAGGTGTTCCCCCTTCAGGGATCACCTCTGTCAGCTTTCAGGAGCAGCCCTTTCTTGGTGACTGTGAGAGACCCCAGGGCACAGCATGCACAGGTGTCGACACCACCTGCTCATGTGACTGTGTCACAGTACTTTCCTAATTCCAGTGATATTCTAGGGTATCATCCTCATTCCAAGAATATGTTAGTTTCTTTTATGAAATCATTTATTTAGAATTTAAATGCCTGACATGATACAATAATGCAATTAAAAATAGTTCACAAAAGCCTGCAAAATTACCACATAGTTTTATTGCACTTCTAACAATGCTAATGAGAAAGAAGTACGATCATTTTTAAAAGCCAGGGTTTTTCTGCTTTTAAACATGGTTAGGAATAGCATGAAACAAAACTGGGGAAACCTTCTTGACATAACAACTGAAAGCTTTTGTTTTGTTTTGTTTTTTGTCTTTTTGAGATAGCGTCTCACTATGCAGGCTGGCCTCGAGCTTACTTTGTAGCCCAGGCTGATCTCAAACTTACAATCCTCCTGCCTCAGTCTCCCAAGTGCTGGGATTACAGGTGTGCGCCACCACGCCCCGTTATGAGGAATGAATTTTTAAGAAAAATGAAAGCAGAAGGATTTTTGTAACTCACAGTAGCTATCACAATTATCAGCGAGCAATAGCTTTGAGCTGTATTTGCTAATTGAGACTCTGTGAGAACTACGTAAGTTATTTTTATTGACCTGTTTTTCTGTTTCTAGACTAGACACGTTAAGGCATTTCCATCAGTGACCTCTGTTCATGGTGAGGTGATTTACAAAGCTACAGAGAGCAGAGGGTGAGCTGCTTATGGTTTTGGGGGGAAAAAAGCCAATGAAGTTAAACTTTTTTAACTGAGAGAAATTTAACAGAGCCTTAATAAACATATTTTGTTATTGTTTTACATAAGACAGCTTTCTGTATTTGGCGTACAGTATGTTCTTAGGATAAAAAAACTCAGGTGTATTTTTTTAGTACTGGTACCATAAACCTAACTTCACTTGTGACCATAATTTTCAATCATAAAACAAGCGTAGCCTATTTTCAACAGGAATAACATCTTCAAGTCAATAGTTGCATGTATCTTAGGTCCATCTGTCCACAGTGGAAAGGAAAAGTGAGGCCATTTGTGCCTATGTTGCAAAAATGCAACATAGTTTGTTAAAAAGTTGTTCTAAAGGCAGTTTTTCTCAAAGTGATTCACTCTCTCTCGAGGCTAGTATAAGAAGTTGTGGTAAACGGAAAACTGGTATTTTAAGTATAGAGCTTTTCAAGCTTAGCTGTACTTACAGGCTTCAGGTAAAAAAATTCATAGCTCTTTCTAGGAGGCATTCTGGCTATTTCCATGAGTTTTTAAAAATCTACATGGTGTTTTTTTTGTTTTTTGTTTTTTGTTTTTTTACCCAAAGCACTAGTTTTCCTGACAGTAAGAGGTTATGTTCCCCACTTTCCTGATTCCTCTCTTAGTTGCTCAAACTCTCTTCCTTATCCATGTCACTAAAAACACCAAACTCTTGCTGTCCTTTTTAAAAGAGATTTTTGATGCTGCCCATTATAATGAACATTTGTTTCATTTTATTTTAAATTTGTTTTCTCCTTATAAAATGCAATCAAGTTACCTTTTCCATAATGGTCCTTATTTGATCTTTTCTGCAGCTAACGAGCTCTTAATACAAATGGTGACTCTGGTCTTGTATTTTCAATGTGATTCTTTGCTCTGTGGCAATGAGTCTATGTTCAGGGCATGGAAAGTGAATGAATGGATATTACGATGGCCATATAACTGCCCCAGGTCCTTGACATTGAGCCCTCCCTTCCCAGGGCACATCAGGTGGGGTGAGTACCTGCTTGGCAAGTACAAGATCATGAGTTCGATCCCTGGTACCAAAAATAAACAAACAAATAAATAAATCAGAATTTTTCTCCTGCAAGACGGGTCATAAAAGCTATATTTCCCTTGCCTTGAGCTGGCTATAAAGAAATCCCAACCCCACCTTGTATGATCCTGGGTCACAGGCCCTCCTTATTCCAATGGGGTCCTGCCCCACACCCTGGAGGCAGGGGCCACACAGAGGCAGGGCAAAGGCTGGTAGCACAGGGTTACATTCTTTTTGTCTGATCACATTTTCAGATGGTTGTTCATGCTTCAATCATGCCAATACAATGACCCATAAAAGCTCAAATGACAGGTTCTGGGAGCTTCTGGACAGCAAGAAATCTGGAGGGTTCTGGAGGAGCAGCTCTGGAGAGGGTGGAGACCTGTCTACCAGCTCCTCTCCCCCACACTCCTGTCATGCATCCCTTTACCTGCCTTCTTTGTAACATATGTTATAATAAGCCAGTAAATGTGTCTGCTGGGCTTTCGTGAGCCACTGACCAAATTAACCAACCAAGCCCCTGGGATCTGGGACCAGCTGCTCTGCTGGTTGGGGGACTGGACGCTGTCTCTAGGTGGGTGGTGTCAGACCTGATGCAAGAGGAAGCCAGCTGGTGTCTGCTGCTGCAGTGTGGGCTGCTTGCTGGAGCAGGGCAGGTCTAGAGAATAGAAGGAAAAAGGACCCCTTGGTTGTGACCAGCATCATCCTCTATGTAATAACAGTCCTGATGTTTTACTTCCCGTTAGGAAAGATAATGGGCAAATTAGAAAAAGAAAATTAATTTAAAGGTATATATGTATTTCTTTATTGATCTGTGTATTGAAAACTGATCTTTAGCCTATAACAGAACTGAACTAAAATTAGCATTCTATCAGCTTTCCCCATACGTAACCACAGGGCCACCAAACAGAGAAAATGTCTTTGACCTTGAAAACAAAAGTGGATAGGCAATTCTATGTGAATATTTTCTGAGAGAAAGAGACAGACAGACAGAGACAGAGACAGTACTAATAAATTTTCTCCCACAAACTGATGAAGACTTCTGGTTCTGGCATGTGGATAGACTAGAAAACTAAGTATTTCTGGATACTTCTGTATAAAACAAATTATCCTTTGAAAAGAAGAGCTGAGCTGTCAGGAAAGTAAGGAAAAGCACCAGGTGGGTAAACAAGGAAACTGAAAATCAAAGCAGTCAGCATAAAAGCCAGGCTAGGACCACTGGGTAGGGAGGAGACGCCAGTGTCTGGAGTAAGGGATCAAAAGCTTCAGGAAAGGGTGAAACCATGAGTCTCATGATTCAAGGAACTGGAACCAAGATCTGTAAGACACACCCAGGACCCTCAGAGGCTGCATTTTTAGGGAGCTGGTCCAAGAGTTTAGACAAACAGCCCACCTGCTGAGTGTACAAGCTGGTCTAGGCCTGGGCTCTACCTAGGAAGGAGGGTAAATTAGGGTGTATGTCCAAATTTCACCCAGGGTGGCAGCACTCAGAGTTATACCACAGAAGGGGTCTGGACACTCCCCAATCAAAAAAGTAACACCAAGTTGTCCTTAGGCTATTGCCAAGCTCAACAGAGGTAAGTACAGGCCCTGGAGGGATACTTTCTAAAAGAGGCCACTTCATTCTTCAGTTTCACAAAGGAACAGCCCTACTGAAGAAAATGCACAATCCAAAATTATAAAATACATGAAGCCACCTAGACAGAACAAAGAGGATCTGATAGCAAAAAGTTCAGATAGCTATAAAGGGAGATACCAATATAGTAAGAAAAGCATCAAAAGGAGTAAATCTTTAGAAAAAGCACTAGAGGAAATTCCGGAAATTAAAGTCAATGCAATTTTTAAAATGTAATAAAATCATAAGCATAGCTAAAAAGCAAATTACTAACTAGAATGGAGTTAAGGAAATCACACAAAGACAAAATCTGTACAACAAAAACAGCAATCAAGAAGGCGAGCAAACATGTCCATCACTGTGGTACAACATTTCAACATGGCTCTCAAGTAGAGACAGGACAAGCATAAAGCATTCAGAAAGCACATGGCAGAAATGAAAGCACCATAGCTTTGACCTACTGGACATACAAAGAGCTGGGACCCATCCCTAAGAAATATACATTCTTGAGTTTCAAGAACTCAAGGCATATTTATAGAATGCCTATATTAGGCAATAACGCAGACTGCAATAATTTCAAAGATTCATATCACACAAACCAGCTTCTACCACAGTGCAATTAAGACAAAATTAATTTTAAAAATTAACCCATACTCTTGGAAATTTAAAATGAACTTATAAACAGCTCATGGATCAAAGGTGATCATTATAGTTGTGCAATAACCAAAATACTGTTTATTAAAATTTGAAGAGCAGAAATCAATAGAATACATGCTGAACGCAAGGAATCATTGCAAAATTAGTTCTTTTAAAAAGACCGATAAGATTGGCAAGTCTCTGGATATGTCTCCTGTATCTGTAAGACATAATAGCTTAAGCTGCTCCGCTGCCCACTGTCTTCATGGGGATGCTTCACAGGGACCTCAAATTGACCTCATCTGATCCCCACTTCCAGTGCCAGTTCGACTATAAACCTCCCATAGAGAAAGCAAACCTTTAAATACACTATTAATGTAATGACCTATAAGAAAATTGCACCGTAATTCTAGTCCTTTGCCCACAAAGTACTGGGCCCGCACTAGTAAGTCTTACTAGTTTGTGAAGTATTTGTACATTAAATTCATGAGATAAAAAATTGTAAAATCAGCACTATGGATTATATCATCATAATGCCAAGCAATACATTTTTACTGAAAATTTTTCTAATTATCTACAGATTATTATATACTTAATGATACTTAAGGCCATTAGCCACCCCAATAGAGATGAATGTAGGGTTATGAATAAACATGGTACAAACTCCAGAAGCTTTTTATTTCTGTATTTTAAAAGGTTGTATCTCATATACAGGAGAAAACAAAATATTGGTCTCAGAGTTGAGTACTTGCCTAGAGCGTAGGATTCAATCTCCAGCACAGCAATAACAAAAAGAAAATGATCATCATACAACTCATATTGAGGACTAACATGGAGAAATGGTCAGATATAAACAAACACCAGTAGTATAAAACAGAACTCAAACATACAGAGATTGTATTTATATATTTTTTTGTTTGTGGTTATATTTGTAGTTCCCAGGATATCATCTGATACAAATAAGATGTTCAGTGAGCAACTGTCAAATCAATTAATGAATGAAAAATGCTGTGATTGTTGCAGCTGATTTCATGCATTGTTCCCAGACTTGCTCATTTTACTCATTTACTCTCCCCAACCCTAACCCCACTACATTACTTCAGAGGAAATGGCTCAAGTCAGCTGAAGGAAGAAACACGAGACATAGCCCTGGCATCCAGTAGCCTACAGGGCAATCCCAGGCAATCCTGAACCCACATGTTTAAATATACTCTTCCCAGCCACTGACTGAAAGTCTGTTCTTATCCTGTGTTTCCACTGACCTAAGTATAGTAAATGAATTCAGTGATGGACCTTGAGACGATCTGAGTCTAAAACGGACAGACAGAACACAAAGCCTGGCATCAATGCATGCATTCATCTGCCAAGGAACTCTGCAAGGTTAAATGGACAAGCCACTGTCTGCTTGTAAAAAACCATGTCCTCAAGGGGCTGAGAGACACAGAACAAGTCACTGTAACAGTGCAGGCAGCATGTGCTAACAGTGCAGGCAGCATGTGCTGTAACGGAAGTAACCGAAGGCCAGAAACGTTCTAACTAAAACTAAGCACAATCCTAGAAATGGGGCAAGAGGAAGGGAAAGAGAAAGAAAGGTGGGAAGAAAGGGAATGAGGCAGAGAGGGAAAAAAGGAGAGCACAGTACACCAATGAACACCAGAATGGAACAGAAGCAGTGAAGTGATAATTTCCAAAACTGATTAAGCAAATTACTATAAAATGAGTATGAGAACTTAGCCATCAAGAATGAGATACAAGGTCATTAAAACCAGCCAACTTTCTGTTTCCATTGGTTGTATCATGTAGTATCTTATTGGATTTTATCATGTGTGGTAGTACAAACAATTTTTTATGGACAAGAAATAATATAGTAACCATTGTTCGTTTTCTGTTATTTGGTTCTGAATGCCCTGTAATACTTTCATTCTCTTGAATGGTTTTATATTATTTTGTTATGTTTGATACCATTGTGTATGAAGGTATGCTCAACTATTTCAAGGAAAGAGACATTATGGTAGCTACTGTTATATCGGGTTGTCTTATGGTGAAATACTGACAGTGTTGCTTAAATTGTTCTGTTCTCATCTGCTTTATGTCCTCTATTACCTTAATCTCTTTAAAATAAAAAATTTTTTTAAAAACAGCCAACTTATTCAGTATTTAATGGATGGGAAAATACACAACATCCAATGGTAGGGGATAAAGAATATAACAGTCCTTAAAATTTTATGAAATGTACATAAAATAGTAGAAGGAAATGCACAAAAGAGTAATAGAGAAGTAGACGTACTAATATTTTTCTTTATTTTTTTTTCAATTTTCCAAGTTCATTCAATTATCATAAGCTATTTATACAATCAGAAATGCTGATTTTTAAATGCAGGATATGATTTTGTATTACAGAAAGATTAACATTGTGTTATAGTACATAATTTTATGAATCACCCCTCAGTGTACATAAGGGGATGGGATCTAGCACCCTTCCTGACACCAATACCTATGAAGGCTCCTTCATAAAGTGGCTAGGTAGACCCTACACACACCCTCCTGTGTGCACAGAATACCTCTATATTATTTATAAAGCCCAATGCAATGTGAATGCTATGAAAATAATTATTATACTGTACAGTTCAGGGTATGACAATCCAAATCCAGCTTATTACACAAGACATAGTTTATTCCCCAACTGCTTCTGATCTGGGTTGGCTGCCTCCTCAGATGTGGAACTTATGGATACAGAGGACCGATTGTATTTGAAAAGAATGGGAAGAAGTACCCAATACTATCAAGATAATGGTCTCAGAATTATGAGATTAAAAGTTACTATTTCCCTCTGTTTTCAATACTTTGATATTAACCATAAGGCAGGGCAGTGATTAAGAACAGTGGCAAACACAGTGCAGGGCCTGAGATCCCTCCTTATCTGCCCAGGCTTGTGTACTCTGGGAGAAATCACAGACTCATGGGGAACAAGAGCTCTATCTGTGATGCACAGAGTATCTGGCAGCATGAGTCCCCAGCCCCATAGGAGTGATGCGAAGGGAGATCTGGGTGTGTTCAATAGCTGAGAACTCAGAGCTTAGCACAAATATTTTATAACTGATTACAAGCAAAACCACCTGCCCTTTGCCCCAGAAGGAGCTCTGTCTTCCAAGGCTGTTAGTTATACAAACATCCTTGAAAAAAACGGTCCTAGATCAAAGGGGTACTTGTGTACCTCTGCTTACAAAAAGTGCAGAAACCCAAGACTCGACATGGAGAACCAGCACAGCATCCTTCCAAGCAGCCAGCCCTCCACATCATTGAGAAAAAGTGGTTTTTAGGCTCTTATCCCCAAATGCACTAAAACAAAAAGATAATAAATAGTAGTGTCTTGGCCCATAGATAAGTTTGAGGATTGACTAAACTTCTAGACCAGTTCTAAATCTTTAGTCTAAGAAAGGAAAGCACTTCCTTCCTTCCTTCTTTCCTTCCTGCCAAGGATTTTGAAAGGTTTCTCCAGTGCTAAGGCTCTAATCAATGCAAAGCTCATCCTGACAAACAGGTGAGAACACACACCCCACTTACAGGTATGTATTACTCAGAGCTTCTAGGCGAGCAAAATTACAATCCTTGACTTAAAAAAATAACGACTTCTGAAGCTATGAGTCACAAGTCTTAAAAGAGGATGAGTTATGTTTTGAGAACTGAGAACTTGTGTCAGCAACTTTTCACCCTGCCACTGATCACCACTTGACTTGCTGGTCTAGCTGGTTCTAACTTTCTGCTCCGTTGGGGAGCTCAATTCCCTCAACAAAGAAAAACCTCTCCTCTTTCAAACATGTACAAGTACAAATGTATATCACTGGGATCTTTTCCCCAGCTATCCACATCATTAAGTCAGTTTGCTACAGGACCAAAAAGAAAAATAAAACAAAATCTACTAAAAGCCCTTGGCCAAAAAATTAGCAAACTAATTAAGCATGTGGTATGTGCCTATATATCTCAGCTTTTTGGAAGGCAGAGGCAAGCCCAGTGTCTTTGAAGCTTTCCACAGTACACAAGTGGAATTTGTTATGCAGTTATACATGTCTCATTATTGCATTCACTTAGCAGTATTACTGGCTGTAGATATCTAGAAAGTGAGCTCAAAGACTACAGTAGTGATTAATAATGTCTATACATCTGCCTTTCATTTAATCCAACAAGTCACAGAAAAATTCCTTGGTATTCCCACGATACACCAGCTGAAAATTAACTTTACCAAGTGCCAAAAAGAAGTCTTTGATTTACAGCAAAACCACTTTATAATGTAGCTTGACAATGATCATTTCTTTTAGGTGCTCTAGAAAGACAACCAGGAGCTGAACTATTTTGTTCCATATTGCAAATGCTATTGGTGCTGAGGACAGATTGGTTACTGCTGTCTCAGTCAACCCTTCCAGTATGGAATGTGGCCCAGTGACTTCCCAGTTTAAGTGGCAACAGGAAAACTAGAGGAAACAACTGGTATAATTGAGCTTACTTGTTACATTAAAGATGAACCCAAATTCTGATTCCTTCAATATGAAGTAGAAATACTAAAGTTTTAATTCACTGAGATGACTGGAGATAGGAGTCAAAATACAGTTCCTTTACTGAGCTGAACTAAAAGGAATTGAACCTAAAATCTGTACCCCTGAGTATACATACTCCGCCCCCAGGAAAGCCAGGAGCACTGAATAGGCACCCTCAAGCACCAGGGACAGGATCCCTATCCAAGAGGAAGGCTAAACCAGGCTCTTCTCTAGGTTGAGAGGAATTAAATATGTAGCACGTAACTGATGAATACTTCCTGAAGGGGGAGAGAAGGACAACATGGAACAAGATCCTCTATGAGGGAAGTGCAAAGGGAAAACCAAAACTCAAGAATACAGCAGAATCCGAGGCAGAAAACCTCACAGGATCCTCTAGCCAGCCAGTCCTCATCTTAGACACACAGCATTACCAGAAGAACTGGAAATCTTTAGTGCACCTAGGGTAACCAATACAACTACAAACTTCAAAACATGCGGGGGCTGGGGGTTTAGCTGGGGGCTGGGGGTTTAGCTCAGCGGCATAAGCACCTGCCTTGCAAGCAGGCAGTCGCGAGTTCGATCCCCGGTACCGATAAAAATGAAAAAGACAAAAACCAACCAAACAAACAAACAAACAAAACTTGCGACTCCTAACTGGATTAACTCAAATCCCCACAATGAAAGCCTAGCAGCAGTAAAGGTGAACCAGCTCTCAGACATTAAAAACTCTTTACCTCAGCCCAAGATGGCTCAGAATTCAAAAGTGAAAAAGTCAGAGGCATATGAAAGGGCAAGACGAAACAACACCCAGAAGACAAAGCGATCATTAAAAGTGGACTCAGATATAGGAACAATCTGATGGCAAATTTTAAATTATTATGATTGATATGCTAAAGGCACTAATGAAAAGTGTGGACAACACGCAAAATCATATGAGCAATTTCAGCAGAAAAACAGAAACTACTGGAAATACCTAGCAGAATACTAAACTGATAAAGTCACGCACATAAAGAATGTCTTTGACCAGTTACCCATGGCAGCATCATGGTAAAGAATCTGTAAATTAAAGACTGGATTAGTTACCTGAAAGCATTCAGCATGAAAAACAGAGAGCAAAAATACTGACTCAAGACAGCATTTAAGACCAGCATAAAAATATCAAGTTATCTACATATATGTGATTGGGATCCCAGGACAAGAGACAAAAAAATGGGGCAGTTGAAAAATTAAAAGAAATAATGCCTAAGAATATTACAAAACTAGTGAAAGTCACCAAGTGCCAGGTCCAGGATGTTCAAGAAACACAAAGGAGAATAAATATTATATCCCTTTAAAAACTCCCACATGGTTTGATATATTATACTGAAATTACCAGGAACAGAAGACAGAGGAATACTGAAGACAGAGGAAAAAGTCACATATATAAAAAATGGGGTAAGAATTCCATTAGAATTTTTCTTAGAAATCATGCAACATAGACAACAACAGATTGATATCCTCAAGTGCTGAAAGAAAAAAGTGTGATATTTATGCACACACAATGGAATACTCCACCATAAAGAAGGACAAACCTGAGTCATCTGAAGGAAAACGGATGCACCTTGAGCCTATAGTGTTAAGTGAAACAAATCAGACACACAAGCTTAAATATCCCATGGTTTCTCTCATATGAGAAACCCAACACATAAATGAAGAGAAAAATAGTATATAATAAGCAGTAGGCAGATGGATTTTTTCAGACAAGAGGGTGATCAAGAGATGGAGGAAGGATGTGGAGGGAAAGGATAAAAAATAAAGAATTGCGATATGTCATGCACATGTACATCATCAACTGTGATACAAGTATATACTGATAAAAAGGGAAAATGGTCAAGCTAAAATTCTGTACTCAGTGAAAATGTCTTTTAAAAATGAAGAAATAAGTGCTTCTAAGAAAACTAACAACTCACTCTGCATATTTAATGCATCTACAAAAGTTTAAAGGAAAGTCTTTAGGCAAAAAGAAAAAAGATACAGAAAAGACAGAAAATGGAATTAACATAAGCAAAAAACATTAGAAATAGAATAAGGTAAGACTAATGTTTCCTCTAAGCTATAACTGATGAGCCAAAGCTAAAATAGTTGCAATCTATTACAAATGCACATGTAAATGTTAATGTAAGGTAACATAGTATGAATAATGCAAAGCACCACAGAAATACTTAAACGTAGACTCTGAGGAACTAAAGATGTATTCTTTAAATACTACTGACATACTTTTTTTTAAAAAAAGGAGCATAGGGCTGGGGATTTAGCTCAGTGGCACAAGCACCTGCCTTGCAAGCAGGCAGTCGTGGGTTCGATCCCCAGTACCGATAAAAAGGAAAAAGACAAAAAAAAAAAAAAAAAAAACCCTCTATGGAAAAAAGGAGCATAAGTTGGGATGAAACAGAATCATGGAAATAATCAATGAACACAAATGCAGAAAAACTGCAAACACGATGTAATATTTAAGCCATCTCTATTAATAATCAGAATACATGTGAAAGGTCTAAACACATCAATTAAAAGGCAGAGGTTTTCAGACTAGATAAAAGACTAAGACTCAGCTCTAAGCTATCTAAAATAT